TGGTAAAACATAATTTATTTGTGGGGGGGGGGGGGGTGTTGAAAGATAGTATAGAAACCTATATTATAGTATGTTTCCATACTTTCATTCTTCTTCTTTTTTTTTTTTATCAGTAGTCCAACAAAAGGTCACAGAGTGCTACAAGAGTGCCTCCATTTTCCCAAACATAATGCGCACAATTCATATCAAGAGTGCTACAAGGAAATGGTTCAAACATTCCTCATACCATCCTTGTTCAATGCACTATAAGTATTAATTAACATAAACAAATATATTTAGGAGAGAGATGGTCCTTCAGATACCGGTAGTTCACTTTTGAGACGTGTATGAGTTATATGATATGCATATCCACTGGACTACTATAAAACATACCGTTCTTATAATTCTTTTCATTTATAGGTCACATGGCCATGGGCAAGGAGCAACAGATCATCTCCTCTGGAGTCTAGACCTACATTACTAACAGCACCTGAACCCTTAAATTTGATAAAGAACCTTAAACACATGTATAGAATACATCTACAGTACATGTTTAGTGTATTGGACATTAATTGTTTGTATTTGTGAATTCTGCTGCAGAACCATTTGGATCCATCATCAAAGTGAGCTGTGCAGCAAGATTGGAGAGCATTTTGTTGTGATCAGAATTTATTAAAGAAACTGCCTCCAAATCATCAAAGTTCGGTAAGTAGAATTTACATGTATATTTTATTCAGGTCTACTTGTATATCAATATGGCTCTTTTCCAAAGGATGCACTCATGTTATGTATACATTTGGTTTAGCCATAAACACACTGTATCTCTATATATGACAATACCATGCAGTGTTAGATCACAAATTCTGATCAATGCCTGATCAGGACCTATGTTGTTGTTGTGGTTTGTATTACATGCAGTAAGTTTTCCAATGCATGCACCCTGAATTCATATCAACATTTCAACTCATCTGTAATATACATCACATGTGATGTAATTTCATCTGTGCCCTGTTGGACAAAACTTACCATTGATGGTAATTACCATCAATGGAAACCTTGATTTTGATTGGCTGTTGAGCCCTGTTACCATGGTAGTTGCCATTGATGGCAAAGTTACCATCAATGGTAAGTTTAAGCAATGGGCCCTGAAGTTCAGGTGTACATGTAAATAATCATCAATGTATTCTGTTCAGAATGCATTTTCTTTTTCTAATTCACTCATGTTTTCAAAGGGTTGTGATTTGGGTTACATCATGTCTTGTTGTGTTTGGAGAAAAAAAATTAGTTGATATAAATACCAGTTTGCAGATCTACTGTTGACTACTTTAACTTGTATACAAGTCAGACACTTAAGGCGCGTCTTCATCATCTCGAGATTGCCAGATAGCCCGCTATTTCCGATTTGGGAAATAATCCCGAAGTAACAAATCGCGTCTTCATCAGCTCGAGATTCGACCTCGAAACTTGAAACTCGACCTTGAGAAATTAGCTCGAGATATTTTGCTCAGCGTTAGCGCATAGTTGCGAGTCTTTGGTCTGGTGAAAACGCACAGGACAAATAGCTGGATATTTTGCTAACTATCCCAAGATATCTTGGGATGACAATCCTGACCGAATATGCCGCTAATTGCTACTTCGGTCTGATGAAGACGCAAATTAGCTGGATAGCTTGCGATCGAGATAGTTCAAATAGCTGGATATTTGGCAATCTCGAGATAGTGAAGACAGGCCTTTATAGGAAGATGAGATTTTAATCTTATCAGCATGCATCCACCTGATCCAAAAGCGCCTTTTCCTTGCGGTTACAAAGCGCTGCACACACCGCTCCACTATGATTTGGCCACTTATAAACAAAAGCCTTTTCCTCTCCTCAAAACTATGAATAAAAGAGTTTAGTTCCTGAATTCCTTTTTAATGTTTTCTTGCCTAATGTCTTGTTTTACACATAACACAGGAAACTGGCATGGTTTTCTTTTTAGGTACGTGTAATTGAACGGCAAGTGGGGATGATAAAAAGAAAAGGCTGCATGCAATATAGGTCCAAAATATGTAATAATAATAATAATAATAATAATAATGTAACTTATATCGCGCCAAATCCACAACGATCAAGAAATCGTTAACAGACCCAAGAGACTGAAATGTCGGTCTTAATTGTGAATCCCAAAATCTAGTTGAGCAAATCCCACTAGACAGTCAGTGGCCACATGTGGGCTGTAGCTATTTTTGAATGAGCATTTATGTGTGTTTGGTTGGGTGGAGGGTCAGGGGTGGGGGTGGTTTGTCAAAGTCTTACCCTCATACTCAGATTTGAATAGAGGAAAATAAAATGTATGTGGAAACATGGAAGAGCCAAGTGGTACCTTTCTCTTTCACGCAACCTTGGACCAGTATACTGGGTTTGTCAGTGGACTTGGCAATCATCAAAGTATTTAGTCTTTAAACACAGACCGTAATTTGTCATATACAAATTTTGAAAAGTTAGCTGGAAATAGAATAGTGAGCTACATTAAGCTAGATGTTCATTATGGCTGGTTCAAGAGACTCGTACAACATGAAATATCATATTGGGCTCTAGTGAAAAAATAATTGTAATCTAGTTGGGCAAAAGGTTTGTTCCTGCAAAACTATATGGATTCGGTATAATTCATGAACGAATGGAAGTGGAAAGCGTAGACATGTAGATTGTGCATGACTGAATAGGTGCACAGTGTATATGAGTGTGTAGGTGTGTACGGGGTATCAGCAAAAGAAATACACAGGAGCAGTACGCGGTTTAGCGCTGGTAAAAAGAAAACTACTTAAATATCATTGTGAGTGAACCCCACTTTATACAACACTAGATCCTAAAATGCTTCTCCAAACAGACAAGCATTTTTCAAATGGTGCGTAGGTAGGTATTTGTCTCTCTCTTTGGTACATACCGGTAGTTTATTTTTTTGCTTCAATCGGACACGCTTCCCTATAACAGACCATTTGGGGCAATATTACTTTGCAAGACCATTTCCTTCCCCCAAACCAAGTCAGGATTTCCCTTCACATTTACAGATTACGGGTATCTGCACAAATTATCTGGATTTCATGCTGTATTGCACAATATGATTGGATAGTCTTATAATAGATGGTTCATCCAATAACTTTCATGCCTTGCAATATATATGCAAATGATCCATGTTCTGGACATGTTTTCCATAACTTTTTTAATTATAAGGTCTTGACTCATGACCTGAGAAGTAAATATTGGCATGCTGCCATCTCCCATGCATATATGCATCTACATGTATGCATCTATCATATCACCACAATATATTCTATGTGAACTGTAAATTATTAAGAGAAAGGATTATAGCACAGAAGATTCACTCTACAAAACAAACAATAGTACTCGGGAGTGAGGGAGCTGATATGACCTTGCATAAATACCTGGTAAGACATACAATATTCTTTGGGGGGGGGGTACATGTAGGAGGTGTTGAAAGATAGTAAAAATATTAGCTATGTTTCCATACTTTCATTCTTCTTCTTTCTTTTCATTATCAGTATTCCAACAAAAGGTCACAGAGTACTACAAGTACCATAAATGGTTCAAACATTCCATACCATCCTTGTTCAATGCACTAATTAACATAAACACACATGTATTTAGGAGAGAGATGGTGGCCTTCAGACAGTTCACTTTTGAGACGTGGATGAGTTATATGATATGACATGCATATCCACTGGACTACTATAAAACATAATGTTCTCACAATTCTTTTCATTTATAGGTCACAAAGGCCATGGGCAAGGAGCAACAGATCATCTCCTCTGGAGTCTAGACCTACATTACTAACAGCACCTGAACCATTGAAATTTGACAAAGAACCTTAAACACATGTATAGACTACATCTACAGTACATGTATTGGACATTAATTGTTTGCATTTGTGAATTCTGCTGCAGAACCATTTGGATCCATCATCAAGGTGAACTGTGCAGCAAGATTTGAGATCATTTTGTTGTGATCAGAATTTAAAGAAACTGCCTCCAAATCATCAAAGTTCGGTAAGTAGAATTTACATGTATATTTTTATTCAGGTCTATTTGCATATCAATATGGCTTTTCTTCCAAAGATGCACTCATGTTTAACATGTATAAATTTGGTTTAGCCATTACATACACTGTATCTCTACCATGCAGTGTTAGATCACAAATTCCGATCAATGCCTGATCACTCATCAGGACCTATATGTTGTTGTTGTGTTTTGTTATTACATGCAGTTAGGTTTTCCAATGCACCCTGTATTTGTGTCAACATTTCAACTTATATGTAACATACATCACATGTACATGTAGATATAACTTTATCTGTGCCCTGTTGGACAAAACTTACCATTGATGGTAACTTTGCCATCAATGGAAACCTTAATTTTGATTGGCTGTTGAGCCCTGTTACCATGGTAGTTGCCATTGATGGCAAAGTTACCATCAATGGTAAGTTTAAGCAATGGGCCCTGAAGTTCAGGTGTACATGTAAATAATCATCAATGTATTCTGTTCTTGCATTTTATTTTTCTAATTCACTCATGTTTTCAAAGGGTTGTGATTTGAGTTACATCATGTCTTGTTGTGTTTGGAGAAAAAAAAATTAGTTGATATAAATACCAGTTTGCAGATCTACTGTTGACTACTTTAACTTGTATACAAGTCAGATATTTATAGGAAGATGAGATTTTAATCTTCCATCCGCATGCATCCATCTGATCCAAAAGATATTTGATATAGCGCCTTTTCCTCTCGGTTACAAAGCGCTGCACACACCGCTCCACTATTTTTTGGCCACTTATAAACAAAAGCCTTTTCCTCTCCTCAAAACTATGAATAAAAAAGTTTAATTCCTGAATTCCTTTTTAATGTTTTCTTGCCTATTGTCTTGTTTTACACATCACACAGGAAACTGGCATGGTTTTCTTTTGGGGCGATGTGTAATTGAACGGCAAGTGGGGATGGTAAATAGAAAAAGCAGCATGCAATATAGGTCCGAGTATGTATTCATTATATGTGTTATAAGATACAGAAGAAATATAAACGAAACCGGTATTACACATACAATTATAACAAAAAAATGTGTCAGTTTATCGCGTCACACTTGGCCTTTACCAGCACATCCTGTATTTTCTATATGACATTTCTTCTCAGCATACGTAAGGGTATAGCACTGAGGGAGAGGAGAGTTCAATGCATCATCAATACCATGGTTTCAAGGGGAATGTACATGTTCAAAGGCTGTACACACACTATGAATTGACCGGGTTTTTCCCACTCAAGTTCCCCATAGAGGCACATGCACACACATCTCTACATGGTCTTCCCACACATGTAGCCTTCAGCTCAGCTGTATGGGCTGTAGCTATTTTTGAAAGAGCATTTATGTATGTGTATGTTTGTTTGGTTGGGTGGAGGGTCAGGGGTGGGGGTGGTTTCTCAAAGTCTTACCCTCATACTCAGATGAACAATCTCTGCATGGTTAAGCCTGGCTTTCATAATGAGTATCATAGGACACCACTCGTCTGTCCGATGGACGTCCAGGGCTCTCTTCTCCGGCAGCCATTTTCCACAGCCCAAAACCTTACACTGCATGCGCGCAACTCCTCCACAATTCCGCTCATGGTTCTAAGAGTGAAATAAAAAGTAAACAAAAAAGTATTGGGATTGCCTTCCCTTTGTATTACTTGGCATTATTATTATACTTGTTTTGATGAAAATTATAAAGTATCATAACAGGTAACATCTTCTGCTGAGTCGATGAGAAAGTCCTACAGGGGTGATAGTGAGCACTAAAAAAAAATATTAAAAAATTTCGGAAAAAGAAATGGCATCGAACAATATTATCCCCCTTTAGAGTAAGAAAATTTGGGGGAAAAGGGGAAAAAGGAAAGGGGAAAAAGGAAAGGGGAAAAAGGAAAGGGGAAAAAGGAAAGGGGAAAATCGGGAAGAAAAAATAAATAAATAAAAGCTGGTGAGAACAAAAAAATTAAAAAAAATTGGGAAATTGTTTTAAATCAGGTAATTATCAGGTCTGGGGGGGGGGGGGGTGTTTCACAAAGATCCTAAGTTGAACTTATCTCTAAGTTGGGCTTAAAAATTATGGAAAGCCATTAGCATCCCTGAAAACATTTTGTAAAAGTTATTTTAAAAGGCATAAATTGTTGATTCAAATCATTCATATTTTCTATTATCATGGGAGATTCTATGTTCTTGATGTGGAATTTATAAAAAGTCTAAAATACTTGAATTTCTGCTTTTGAATATATTTCATTTTAAGGTTCCAATGGCTGTCCATAATTTTTAAGTCCAACTTAGTGTTAAGTTCTACTTAGGATCTTTGTGAAACACCCCCCCCCCCCCCCCCCCCCCGGTCCTATCATTTTTAACAGAATGTCCTTCTGGCTCTCAACAAACACTGTGTCAAGTAAAGCTGATTATTCCTTTCACTTTATATTTCAATTCAATTCAATTCAACACTTAAACATGGATTACCAATCAAATCAATAATTTACATTGAAAATATGAAATTATGAATATAATCCTGAATATGTCATATTACAGTTTGTTACCACTAACAGAACATTAGTACAAAATATATACATATTTACTTCTTTTATGTACATAGTACTTAAAAGTACTGGTACTAGTCAAAGTAATAGTACATAAATATATACAAAGAACTTGATCTAAGTGCAAATACAAAGTACAAATATGCATGGTCATATATAAACTTAATCCTCCTCCTTAAATAAATTACAATTTTCCTCATAGGAAGACAAAAATTTCACATCAATTTTTCTCCTGACTTATGCATGACGTTTATCTATTGAGGTTTTAGGTACACACCTGAAACTCCAAGATATTTATAAATGAGATATCATTTTAAGGTCTGATTTGTTGCCACCACTATAAAAGCTAAAAATACACACAATTTTCTCCGCGAACAAAGCATGAATATCACACATTGTGATTTGCCAGTCTGGTTTTTGTGTACGCCCCTTATTGAAAATGTCATTGAGAGGTCAGCCATGTATGGTGTATGAGCCTATGATCACAAATCTACCGCTAAATCACGTGGAATAAGCATGCTCTTGAACTCTCCAATCACAGTGACTTCCTTAAATGAATTAGCTTCTCTATTGGAAACCAAACACTGCATGCTTTGTATCGTAAGCCCATCTATTTATTGGAAGCAGAAGGTCTCTGTGTAGCAAGGTTAGTAAGATAAAAATGCATATACTGTCTTTTTGACATGACTAATATATATGTATGTCTAGCTGGAAATGGAGCCAGTGAGTTAACAACTGTGTCATTACAGACCATTGAGCTATGCATGCACCGACACATAAAGACGTGCGTATTCCACACGATCTACAGGAGTATGTTCAAACTCTGTTAGATATACAGTACATGTAGATCCTATCTTACCTGAATGTAGTCATTGTAGCTGCCTTTCCAGTTGCAATTTTTGCATTTACAGGACTTAATTTTTTGAAGTCTTCGTTGAGCTGCTTGGTCAGGCTTTAACTAAATAGAGAGAATAACATGGATTCATAGAAACAAAACATAATTTTACATCGGAAAACAAATGTGCCTGGCATGTTGAAGATAAAGGTAAACGTTTATGAAGGTTCACCTTGGCTGACATGTGTGTATGCCTATGGTATTCTAGTTCGCTAAATTACTAAAATAATCAGAAATTACGATGAAAATATAATACTACTTCGCATAGCATTTTGTCAAACAGAATATATTATGGAAACTGTCATAGCTTGGATGCGCTGCACCATTAAAAAAAATGTTTTGGTCAATACAATGAGAGGTGTCATTATTACAAAAATTATTGGTTTTGTTTTTCATTACATGCTTCAGGCTAAGCTAAAAGCTAAAAGTTTGCCGCAGTAAAGCTTTAATACTTAATGCCAAACCATATACACCCTGGAATTGGATTGGAAAATATCACAACAGGTGAACTGAGAAAGCAATTGAGGACTTAATTGTGAAACATAGTTGGTTTTGTTTCCACTTTCTGCATTTATGACATTGATAAAAGGGATCTCTAATTCATGAAAGCTTCCAAGTTCGGATGAAACTCAGTTTAGTGACAATTAACTTTTGGCATCTGCATGTTATTATTTATTGAATCTAATAATGTATATCATACCTCTTCCAGGATAAGTGGTGCCTTGCATGTAGGACAGAGTACCCTATCAAGTGCTGGTAAATCCCTATAAAAAAAAAATTAAAAAAAAAATTGTACTTACTGGGTAACAAAGGTCATTAATCGAAACAAGATTCAAAGTAAACTACCGGTAAACACCTGTGCCAATCCAATGTAATTTGGGAATTTTCTCAATATCTACATGTAGATGAAAAACCACTGAATACGGGTATGCCATCCATGATTTACCTGGGAGTGGATGATGATATGGAATAGGTACATGTCTAAAGTGGAGGTAGATAACAGGTACTTACCTAATTGTTTTTAAATTTGATGAAGATATCCTGCCCTACAAAGAGCTTCACTGAAGTAAAAAAGGATGTTATTTTAATACAGGTATTGTGCTTCAATACAAAAATTAATTTCTTTATATGCTAGTGTGTTGCACTCAATAAAAACCCAAAATACTTCTGACTTTAAAAAAAAGTCCTGAGACAAAGTTCAAACTTCCTATTTTATAAGAAACAGAAACAAGCAAATATTTAATACAATTACCTTTCTTCTTCAAACCTATATAGCATTAAAATCATGATGTCATTTAACAAAATAAATGGAAAAGTAAATTAATAATTGTTAGACAAAATTATTTCTACTGCCTTATATTTCACACTACACACACCCCTACAGTGACAAACTGGTTACAAAATATGATGTTAAAAATCTCATATCTTTGGATATAGGTTTCCAGACCTACACGTTACATTCCATTTGGTAATCTGGATGCAAATATAGTTCCATACGATATCTTCTTCACCATTTCTGAATATCCCATCAAATATCTCTATCATAGAAAAGTGTTTACGCATGTGGTAATTCGTTTACTGTTAGCTAGCTTGAGTGAACTTAGATTTGACCTTAATATTTGTATACACCACTCAATGAGGGATAGGGTCGTAGAAAAAAACTGCAAATGTTTTAAGTACAAAAGATAAATCTGCACGTTCAATTGTGTATAAATTTGCCACTTAAGAAGAACTGTTGTTATTCACGATTTGAAGTTTTAAGTCACATTGTAGTCATCTTCCGTCAATTAACTGTACGAGTACCGGTATCAGTCTAGCATCAGTTTCTCTTGGTGTCCCATAGACCACCCCCACATACATGCCGGTACACAGTATGTCTATATAGTTGTGTGAGTCTGTGTGTAGTGTGTGTGTTTACGAGTACACGTGTGTATACATACACTGTACTGTCATACAGGGCAGCGTTTCATGAAAACGTCATAACTACAAGTTCACCGACATCTCATTGAAAGGCGTGTATTAAGTTTAACACACGTTTCAATGGGATGTCGGTGAACTTGTACTTATGACGGTTTCATGAAACGCAGACCACACTTCATGAAAGCTGTTCGTGATTTACTAGTCCACGAGCCAAGCAGATAAACAGGTAAAGAATTATGCATAACTTTTGTTAATTTGTGACATTAAAACTGGAAATACAAAGCTCCATTCTTGGCTCTTTGGAGAATAGATTTACAACTGGAAAAAGACCTCTGCTCGGGTATGTCTACTAGTACTACCACTTGTGGAACAAAACTACCCGGCAGTGCCGGCACTACCAAAAGTCAGTAGGATACTAGCACCTACTTTTCCAGGCTACGCAGTGGAGTAATGGGTCATACACCTATTAACCTTTTTGTTAGCTATTTTAAAGGCTCAATAAATGCAATCATAAATATTGTGAAAGTACCTCATATTAGTTCATATATCATGCATTAATTCTTAGATTTTCAATAAAAATGTCTATATTATTCCTCATTTAAAGATGAATATTTTCTGGAAATGCCAATCATTCCGTTATGCTTGGAAATTGGCAAAATTGTTATTGAAGTGTCTACCGTATATTCTTTATCCCAAGGTTACACAAGTTGGATTGTATTTACACATGAAGTGCAATAATGGAACATTCCAAAGAGCTTTAATCACTCTTGTACTTCTGCATCAGTGGTAATGTAATTTACTGAGGTGCATTTAATGGATAAACAGCAAAAGTTGTAGCATAACATGTCTTCTGAATGGAGCATATTTTGTTTCCTATTCCAAGCTCATAGCTGGGGATTTTCAACAGCATCTTGGAAAGCTCAAAACTGCATCCATATCAAAAGAGTAATTTGTCCTCATTAACCCCTTTATGGTCATATGACAACGGTCATTGCACAAGGTAGTGTTAAAGATAAACTTGATTTCTGGAAATGGAGCCATTTCAAGAAGACAATATATTTATAGTATAGTTTTTTTTTTTGTAGAAGATATTACATATGATGCAAAGCACCTTTATGTGGGATTCTACATGCGAGTGTTAATTTTGGATGACCTGACCGCCTTGATATCCTCAAAGTGCTGAGCCATTAAACATTTTCTATAAGATTTAAGAGGCAGAATAGTCCAATCTTTTTTTGTCCCATATGTTACCGACCACTGATAGCCCTACTAGAGCTTGAATCAGAAAAAAACAAACCCCAAAACCAATTTCATGTCATTATATGTTCCTGATTCCATTAGGACATACCTCGGACTTACCCACTGATGAGTGTAATTTTTCTACGTCGTTTTAAAAATTTCATAACAAGATCTCCAGACAACCTTTAAACTTGTTTATTATGCGTTTAAAATGTCCGTCTTCTATAAGTACTTTGTTCATTCTTTTAGCATGCTAAGTAGTGAATATGATCAATCTGGGAAGGAAAATATCCACAAATTAAGAATTTAAGTGTTTTGGGGGTGACTGAAATGATATGTTCTACATTATACATCCCTGAAAAGTACCACACTAACCCTACAAAATATTAACTGGTGATTTTTCTATTCTTTTTAGTACATTTTGAGTCTGTTTGGCAGTAACCAAAATACCAAACCCACATGTACTCCGACATGTGAAATTTTGACTATGAATGATAGCATGAACTTCTTGTCTATATTGCTTGATTTTAAACTTGATTTGGTTTGCATCTTATTTTTGTAAATGTTAATCTGGGAATGCAAAGTTCTGTAGTTAGGAGTAGAACCAGTTCTTGTTCTTCTGAGAAATAGATCATTTTACCTGGTGAATAAGACTGCCAGGCAACTTTTGCAGGCTGGATGTTTACAACCGCCAGACAACGGGTCTCGAAAAGTGAAGGTGCAGAGTCGACACTGGCTCTCGTGGACCACCGCCAGCCCCTTTTTGTTTTCATTGGGGTGAGACAGTTCGACACCTCCCATTTATTAAAATATGTAGTGGGAAAGAGTTTCCTGAAAAGAATTGCAAAAACAGAGATAGAAGTTAGGACACAACTTTTCAATGTTGACAATATTAGAAACAGAAAACAAATTTGAACAAATTCCAACAATTGTTTTAGTGCCTTATTGGTACGTTATGGTCTTTTTAAAAGTTTTCAACAATCAAAAACAGATTGGGAATTCAGTGACATATATCTTTCAAAGTTTCAAGGTTCTTTCATTTGCTCTGTAGGCCTACTCTCTCGAGTATCCTTCTTCGGCTAAGATCGGAGATCGTCGGCACTGTGGGTCTGCCGAAGGTTCATAAAAGGCTTATTAGGTAGTTGGGGTACTTAACTGTTAAGTAGATTTTGACGGGTTGTGCAGATTGCATAAGTATGCAGCTGTGTTTTGGCACTATTGCTGACTAAAAAAATTGTAAATCTATCTTTCAACAAAAGTCATAAAGACTTCTCTTTTGCCTTCAGGCTTCAGATTGACAACAAACTATTAGGCCTAATCAAATACTAAATAAAATAGCACAACATTAGCAGTACTTTAGCATGAACCATGAAGAATATTTGTTTGAATTGTATAGTTATAATAATTGTCCAACATAATTCTTAAGAAGTTTATGAAATAATGCTAGAAATAGTAGAATTCAGAAAACTTCTTATAATATCGGGCCCGCTGCAACCCTAATGCTCTACCCCAAACCCTAAAAACAAATCATTAAAAATCAATCATTACAGACAACTTCCTCAATGCGTTAATCTTCATTTCACGAAGCCTGCACTGTTCAATGGAAGAAGAACTCGGCCCCGTATTAGCAACGGGGCCAAGTTGTCCCTAACTGGCCTTGGTACATTTATTTATTAAAGGTAAAGGCCAGTTTTGGAAACGCCCCCTCTCAAAAAATGAAATGGAAGCTCTTATTACCAATCATGTCAAAGAGTATGTTTTGACTAATACATGATCATACAAATTTTGCTAAGAAACCGCCTACTAATTGATATATTTGGTAAATTATTATATCTATTTGGACCTGATAGATATAACGCACGTGTCGCGTAGTCCCATATACATCTTTCTATGTACAGTGCTTGTAACTATACCATTAAGACCAGGCCAAATTTCTGATCATTTTGATGATTTCAGAACCTTGTAGTACACACCAATACAGTACTTATATGCTAGATGATCAACCATTTCTGATCGATTCCACAACATTTCTTTCACAATGCAATCGCATGACCATAACTGGTCTTTATCTTTAAAATCTGGGTTAACTTGGCTCAAAGACAACTCAGCCCAGCTGCAAAAACAGTCAGTTTTTGTCATTTTACCCCAAGTCAAACCCTAACTCTACCCCTAACCCTAAACCTAACCTTAAACCTGCAAAAACTGACCGTTTTTGCAGCTGGGCCGAGTTGTCTTTGAGCCGAGTTAGCCCGACTCCATTTATTTCAATATCTAGCCTGCATCATATAGATTATTACCATTACATGTACTCTAGTACTACTACTGGTAGTCTGGTACAGTTCACCCTCATGAGAGTGTACTACACCATTTATACTGTATTAATACTGGGTAAAGTCACTTCAGCAAAGCATTCAATGCTAATGCGTATTTACCTTTAGCACTGCACTACGTGTTAATAGAAAGCATTTGAATACATGAATAGTCAGTACACTCGATGCACACAATCATGCCGATTCAGCTGATCGGGCAAGTTTGACAGTGGACTCACATTCTACTTCTAGATCTACTTCTATTCTATTCTACTACTTGTCAAAGCCTGTTCAGCATCTAGACAAGGGTGATCTTATGCCGACGGTGGACGGCTTGTGTGAATTTGAGCCGAAATATATACATGTTTATAGAGTAAAGGAGCCCGTAATCGGCCAGCTCCCGTTTTCGGCCGATTGGTTGGATGCAAGGTAAAATCACTCTAAAATACATCGCATAATAGCGTAACACATATCCCACACATACCATACCATGCCAGTGTCACTGAAGAACCACATTTGCAATGAAAAATATATCCTAAAATATCACATTTTAGCGATGTAATCGCCGGTCCCGCTACCCGAATCTGAAAAATCGAGTATCTTACGCGTGTCTGTAAGAAATATGGGTACCATAAAATGAGCTTTATTTCAAGTATTTTTCAGATTTAGAGCCCGATTTTGTGCTAGTCGCAAGCTCAAAAGTATCTCATCGCATGTATTAAATCAATGCAGCCGCACACCGCGACGCACACACGATATCTCTGTCTAATTCAGATTCCAACTTCCGATCACCGCTGTGCCTGTCTTCGGCCAGACGAGCACCAGGGAGCTCAGGCGTGGGATACCTGCTCCGCCCGCTTGTGCTGTACATCAGCGCGGAAACGCACGGCGCGCGCGAGCGCTTCCTATTGACTTTGTACATGCGGCCGTAAACTGAAACGCTCGGCCGATAACCGGCTCCAAAACAGTGAAAATTGAAATGAATATTGTCATGGCAATTCGTGATTTTTTTCTGGGATTCTTTTTTTGTTTAAATAATAATAATATTTGCTTCATGATTTGAACAAGAAATGATAATAAATAGGAAGTAAAGAGTCCTAAAAATAGGATTTTGTCTTAAGTGGCCGAAAACGGGCTCCTTTAGATCTAGAATCTAGTGCAAGTAAAATGATAAAAATCATAAAAATAATGATGATGCCGTGACTATTCGCAGCTGATGGCTTCCTTGAACTGCTTCAATGTGGGCAGCTCAATTGTAGGAAGCTCATCCCAGTCTTTCATGGTGCGAGGAAAGAAGCTGTAGATCTATTTTTATTTGTAAGAATCGGAGGATGTACCAAGTGTGGTGAAACGAAGATGATGTTGACTCCTTGTAGCTCTGTCTTTCTGTGAGATGTAATCTGGAAGAGGGATGGCTATCTGGTGGTGGAGCTGGAGGATCTTGTATTCACATTCACAATTTGAATTTTTTAATCCTTTCTAGATCTAGACTAGATCTAGTCTAGATCCAACATCGAAAAATTGAAAAAATTGTTTTTTAGTGCTAGATCTAGGTGTCATTAATCGTCACTAAAGTACCGATTACAGTGAAATCAGTTGAGTTTTGTACAGTGGTGTTTGAAATGTTGAGAATCAATAGCACAGCTTTTAGATGCACCAAGACCCCGTAGACCTATGTGTGGGTAGGCCTACATGCAGTTAACAGCGTGCGAGCAAAAAAACAACAACGACATAGACTCTAGCCTAGGCCTATAGGCCTACTAGCCTACACATGCTACATACTACATAGGCCTAGGCCTATCTAAGTCATAGTAGATTTCTAGATCTAGACTACATTTATTTGATTTCAATTCTTTACTTAACCATGTAATGTTTTACTTTACCCTCAAACACAATAAATACTCAAATGAAGATAACAGACTCTGAGGGTCTTGAGCTTGATGAATATGTCGATGTGCCTACTGTAACAATGAAGGCAAATCTCCAATTAATATACTGGAATACACATACGTCATGCACATGGAGCGGAGGCGCATATTTTTTTTACACAACTGTTTAGCCATTTTCACGAAAAAATTCCAAGAAGTGCCCTGGTGAAAGAGTCTAAGTCGTCAGCACGTACACTCAGGGAAGGGAAGATGATAGAAATTAGGGGCAAACAAGGATAGTGGAGAGGATATGGAGAAGGAAAAACAAGGATATAAATAAGGAAAGAGAAGAGGATAAGTCAAAGGAAGAACTTAATTGAAGAGCTATGGGGATCACATATCTAGACTAAGGAAAAACAGGGAAATACATAAAGAAGGAGAAAGGAAATCTAGATTAAAGCAAAGAAATATAGACGACGAAGGAGAAATGGATAGATTGAAGGAGAAACAAAGAAATTCATAAAACAAAAGAGAAGAGGTTAGAAAACTTAGAATAAAGGAGAACAAGAAAATACATAACGAAGGAGAACTGGGGGTAGATTGAAGGAAAAACATCTATAACGAAGGGAGAAAGTAGTCACAACTGACTATCGCCTAATCGCCATTGAGCCCCATTGAGCTGAAACAAAGGAAGAACTAATTACACCATCGCTGCATGGTAAGACTAGAACTAAGATAGAAGGCACTCACTGAATGCCCAAAGTGTATTATAATATATAGTTACTCGTATAATTTATCATATCCACAGGAAATCATGACACTATAATTTCAGATATAATTAAATAAAAAGCAATAGTTCGCTTCGTTTTAAGAACAAAGCGGCTGTATCAAAACCATTAAATTCATTTTTTTTCTTTATCTTTTTTCTTCTTCTTATCTTTTCTTTTCCTTTTTCTTGCACCAATAAAGCCCACAATACGTGTAACTAATTTGACCATTTAAATTTTCTAACAATTCGGTGATATCGCCCCAGCATCACATGCCAGCTGGCACCCCCTCACGGTTTAAAACCTGAAAGTCTGCGAAATATATTACGTCAAAGACTGGTAAGATGGCATTTTGAAAAGGGTGGGGGTACACAATCATGTACGTGCATACATAATATATATTTAAACGTCTTTGGAGTTTATATTTGAGCGCGCACGCGCGCGATAACACAAAGTACGTACAACTTGCTATGCCGTCTCTTTCAAATTCTTATCTCCATGATTTATCTAATTTTCTCTCTAAAAAAAAAGAATATAAAAGAAATAAGTAGAAGGAAAGGGGATGGAAAGAAAAAGAATCCTAAAAATAGTCATTTAATATGACATGTAATTGTACATAATAGTTCATAAAATAGTGTGTGGCAAAAATAGTCAACTATGATTGCCAAACAAAATCAGATCAAGAAAGAAAGGCATAACAATGACAGGGCCAATATGAGTAATTGGAACTGTGTGCGGATCATGGTTTAATTTGAAATATTATTCTATATTATTACATAAAATAGGTAGACAATGACTGAATATTATATTGAAATAAGAGTGAAAAGGGTAGTTTTACCAAGACATTAAAAGATAGAAAGGAAAAAAAAACAGATTCCACGAAATCGGCAACAATTTAGTCAGAGGTCGAGTAACAAGAAAAAGTTGTACAGACGATCGGATGCTTAGGGGAAGCCTCTCGCGAATGACATTGGAATTGTTGGTGTAATTTAAGAGCAGGATAATAGATCAAACACACGCATGATTAAATACCTGTGTTTTTTTTAATTCATGTATTGGATCTAATCAGCTTATTGTGTGCCAGCTAGCTCTGCAAATTATTCTTTCCTTGTCAGTGTGTGTAATAATTGTGTGCAAAGGTAAGAAATATTTTAGCATTGTCTTAGGGCGCGTTAATGCTTGATTTGACGGCCAGAATCAGGCATCTGTTACGCGTTTAGTTTAAAACACGGTTGCGTCTTAGCTCACTTTTGTAGAATCACCGAAAAACGGCGATCACGATCGCCGATCGTAAACTCACAAAAAGATGCGTTTACAATTTGTAAACGCGTTTAAATGGGGTCAACGCACTGACCTCTAGTGGGTCTACGTAGCATGCACAGTGAAGGTTTGCGAATCCAGCTGGAAGACCAATTAAGGCCACACACTGAGAATTGCCTGGGGGAGCCAGAGAAGTAAGCATGAACACTACATCGTGGAACTGCGATCACGATGAGCGTTTACGATGAGCGTTTCAGATCGCTCATTCTGCCTTCAAAATTTAAGCATGAACGCAGCCTTAATCTATATAGTCAGGTACTATCAATTTAGAATAAATTCATCAGTACAGGGTATATGTTTCTCAGGCTCATATACTGCTCGAAGTAATTAGTGTATGAAACTATCAATCATAGTGTATTATAGGCATATTCTTTCGTTGTATAATTATATTGTCCCACTCTACATGATTATTTATAATAAGTACCGGTAAGCGGGCCAATTTATGTATCAGACCGTTTACTAATGTTTTGCGTAGTATACCTCTTTTACAACTTTCTCTCTACCACTCAAAAGTTTGCCGGCCACAGTTTGTTCGAGATAGCAATAACATATCTATGCAACATGTGCAAAGTGGTTAAACAGACACATTTTCTTTCATGCCTATTTCGCCAATAGTTGTCAAGGTGTACGTCGGGCACTTGTCTAGCGCATTTGAAGGATATTCAAGGGGGCGGCCATTTCTAACCAACTGACCAAGGAAAAAGGGGGAGCCTTAATCGTACTAGTTAGTAGCAAGTTAGTAATCAATGTAATTCAAGAAGCCTGCAAAATATAGACTTGTTCTGAAAAGAAATAAGTCATTCTGGGCGATACCGACCACGAACCCTCCCCCCTCCCCCTTTCCGCAGCGCAAACCGCTAAAATGGATAACTGGTGATAAAAGCGTGTACAGCAAACTACTAAACACGTCGAAGGAGAGCAACTGCACACTGAAATAAGAGTTAAATGTATAGTGCTATATATTATAGACGATGGAGCTTTTGTTAATTTATGTTTATTTTGATGATGTAAGAAAGTAGATGAACAACATTATGTCTAGAGCTATAGAGCATGGATTAGCACGAAGTCTGGTGTCAAGAAATTAATCATGTTCGTCAAAGTTTGTTTGACATGTCGCCACAGAATGAATGACGAATTATTTTTTCAAGCGATGAATTGTGAATGGATTGTGGACTTTGACCAGAGACATTGATGGCCTTAAAAAAATAATATAGCCTATAAAAGAAAGATGGTGTTTTTGTCTAGACTAACATGTTACACACACGCCTAATATATATACGGGGATGTACCGCGCTCGTGGGTTACCTTTTTGGAGAAAATCCCGTATGTTAAATCCGTCAAAAATAATTGTTATCATTTCGCTTTTTCCTCCAAAGTCGTCGACGATGGTTTCACCGATTTATGAATATCATTATTTGAGCTCCGCTTCTGATTAATTTATAAACGGGTAATCCCATCCCCTCCTGGAGCGTACCAACAAAATTCTGCTTTTTAGTGGATTTTTCCCACAAGTTCTTTTCCAATTTGCTACAATATTGTTACAAACTGATGGGTTTTAAATTTTAAAAAAGCTTAACAGGCTGGAGTACCATTTTCTGCCCAAATGATTCTTGAGCTACACACCCCCGTCTAACCAAATCTTAGCACCCCCCGAACAGCACGACATATCCCTCTTTCTCGTTGTGCCCCTTTCTGAATTTAAAATTTAGAAAATACAATCAAAATATGCGAAATTACGGTAATGACTGAAATTAATATAAAGACACTTACTTATCAGTATTATAGAAACGAAAATCTGCATTGCTCCCCATGGATACCGGTCCTCATGCTTCATTTTTGTGATCAGATCCATACACTTACATTTTCGCGCCTTTTTATTAACCGGGTGGGTGGTTTCCATTTCACAATTACTAGGAGTTCAAAGTCCATCTATTTTTTTTTACTACAGCAAAACTTCACCGCGAATATGGCGCCATAATAATGAGGAGAGGTTCGAAGTCCACTTCTGTGCTCGTATTCCCGCCAAGATCACTGCGGAACTTACCGTGTGTGTGCAATGAGCGTTACTTCATCGAGATCGTGTTCATATCTTTAATTAGTCGACATTACCCAATATTATGTTGTTCCAAATTGATATCGAAGACAACAATAAATTGAGGAGGCGCGGACCCTCCATTACCAAGAAGAAATTGGAAAGTACTTTTAACCATCACACCAGCTGCAATTTCTAGCGAGATCACTTCAATCGTGACTTGAAGAAAAGAACATGTTTTGATTGGCATGGCTTATTTCCTGAAATTCTATCTCTTCCTTAGCTCTCAGATGTCTTATTTATGTTTTATATTAATCTAAAGTTAATAAAGCAGTTTCGGTGTTGTTTTGCTTGAAGTGGGATCTTGATGACTGAAGCAAAAATAAATGATGATTCTTCAAATTCTTATCTGCTGTCTCTCATTACTATCCGTTGTCTTCTTACTTTCCCCCAATTTTTGTGTTTACATACTCTGACTCGTACATAAAATGTTATGGCGTTATCCAACACAGGAAAAAAAAAAAAAAAAAAAAAAAAAAAGATCACTGCGGAACACTTTGCACGCTGCTTTCCCTTCTATAATGTCGTTGACTTGTAATGTTCAACATCTATGCGTTGTCATCCGTACAGTATACATGGTATACACATCACACATGTATATTATGAGCTAAAGGGAACGATTATTTCCTTTATAAAAGAAAGAAAAATTATACGAAGGGCACGATCGCAAAGACTTTTAAAACATCAACTCAAGTCTGATCGGGGCCTATTCAAAATACCAGTATCCATTGCCTATAGAAATGATACTTAGGACTCATTTTATATGTCATTGCCAAATTAGCACGTTTCAAAGTGACTAACAAGGCTACTAGAATAATATTGTCTCTGGCAGATTTTCGAAATTCCTTGCGATTGTTTGTATCGTCATTTCATTCGTCGCGAAGAAGGCCTACTTAGATCTATAGGCGCATTGGCGTAATTCAAGTTTTGCACCATGTGCAGGCATGGTCACTGTATTTCGACCAAGAAAAAAATGAAAAACAAAACTGCCATAGGCCTACTTTGTGTGTTTTAATAAAAGAATTCATAAACAATTTAAAGAGTGTAAGAAAGTTTGGTGATTAAATTTTCTTGGAGGGAGTAACCAGGGTAGTGGAAATTTGCCCCCTTGACAGCTAATAGCCTGCGTCGCTTGTAAAGACGCATGTAGCCTATATGCATGTTCATAATCATACTTAATGGAAAAACGTAACGGGACCATTGGGCTTTTATCGCTTCTCATCCAGGGTTCGTATATGGGATATGGGACATTTGGGTGGTACACGAAGGCAAGTTTTTATTTATCTTTTTGGGGAACATTTGGAATTTGGTATCTGAATGTTTACAGCCTTGTACGTGGCAAACCACAAAATGTATTTATGTATGTTGACTTTCGTAATTTCTAATGCCTGTTTATACTTATCTGCAAATTTGGAGCGACCCCCCCCCCCCCCTCACCCCAAATTAAAATCGCCTGCGCCAGTTTAGTAGTGAAAATTTGCATCGCTGAGATGAGATCTATACACTAGTCTTGTAACAAAGGATCATGATTGTGACATGATTTCAGCTAGTTTTATTCAACCGGAAACCATGCACCCTCTTACTCTTCTGAATTTTTGCCTTTCAGCTTATAAAGTATAAAATGGCATTCATGAAATACGGATACACACAAAATGCTCCAAGTGGTTCCTTCTTTTACGGAGCCCCGGAAGTGACATGGAGAAATTTTTTTTTTCTCGTTTTCCTGAGATAAATTCTCGTTTTCCTGAGATAATTTTTCGTTTTCCTGAGATAAATTCTCGTTTTCCTGAGATAATTTTTCGTTTTCCTGAGATAATTCCCGTTTTCCTGAGATAAATTCTCGTTTTCCTGAGATAAATTCTCGTTTTCCTGAGATAATTTTTCGTTTTCCTGAGATAATTCCCGTTTTCCTGAGATAAATTCTCGTTTTCCTGAGATAAATTCTCGTTTTCCTGAGATAATTTTTCGTTTTCCTGAGATAAATTCTCGTTTTCCTGAGATAATATTTCGTTTTCCTGAGATAATTCCCGTTTTCCTGAGATAAATTCTCGTTTTCCTGAGATAATTTTTCGTTTTCCTGAGATAAATTCTCGTTTTCCTGAGATAATATTTTGTTTTCCTGAGATAATTCCCGTTTTCCTGAGATAAATTCTCGTTTTCCTGAGATAATATTTCGTTTTCCTGAGATAAATTCTCGTTTTCCTGAGATAAATTCTCGTTTTCCTGAGATAATTTTTCGTTTTCCTGAGATAATTCCCGTTTTCCTGAGATAAATTCTCGTTTTCCTGAGATAAATTCTCGTTTTCCTGAGATAATTTTTCGTTTTCCTGAGATAAATTCTCGTTTTCCTGAGATAATATTTCGTTTTCCTGAGATAATTCCCGTTTTCCTGAGATAAATTCTCGTTTTCCTGAGATAATTTTTCGTTTTCCTGAGATAAATTCTCGTTTTCCTGAGATAATATTTCGTTTTCCTGAGATAATTCCCGTTTTCCTGAGATAAATTCTCGTTTTCCTGAGATAATTTTTCGTTTTCCTGAGATAAATTCTCGTTTTCCTGAGATAATATTTCGTTTTCCTGAGATAATTCCCGTTTTCCTGAGATAAATTCTCGTTTTCCTGAGATAATATTTCGTTTTCCTGAGATAAATTCTCGTTTTCCTGAGATAATATTTCGTTTTCCTGAGATAAATTCTCGTTTTCCTGAGATAATATTTCGTTTTCCTGAGATAATTTCCGTTGTAAAATGAACAGTTAAAATGAATTGAAAAAATACAATTTTCTTCTAATTTTATAACGTTTTGCCCCCCCCCCCCCCTGAGTACGATGTCATATATATTTACTGTAAATTGCGAGCGAGCGAAGAGCGCAATTAACAAATAAAAGACACTAGTCTTACTCGTACAAATTTAGGTACAATACCAATTTGGATGATAAATCTATCTTGATTCAAGAACACTTTATTAACAGACTGCCCGATTACAATAGGGGACAGCCCACGAGGCCGACGGCCGTCAGCCTAGGGCCTAAATCCAGTTTTAGGGGGGTATTCAGCAGGCGCGGATCCAGGATTTCTTAGGGGGGGGGGGCCCAAATTTGAAATTTTGCGAGCCAAATATTGGTACGTAATGGTGACCAACAGTGACGTAATGCGGGGGGGGGGGTCGGTGCAGGGAGGGGCGATTTCCCCCCCCCCCCTCCGCGAAACGCGGAAGCTTTGACGTTTCATTAAATTATTAGAGAAAAAAGACGATTCGTTGTACCGTTTTCGAAAATAATTCTCGTCTGAATTCAGTTTTCCCCCTCCCGCGCGAAGCGCGGAAAATTTTACGATTTATTAAATTATTAGAGAAAGAAGACGATTCGTTGTCGAGTTCTCGACTCTTTATCCTCGTCTGAATTTAGGTTCCCCCCTCCCGTGCGAAGCGCGGAAGCTTTTACGATTTATTAAATTATTAGAGAAAGGAGACGATTCGTTGTCGAGTTCTCGACTCTTAATCCTCGTCTGAATTTAGGTTCCCCCCTCCCGTGCGAAGCGCGGAAGCTTTTAAATTTCCTTAAATCATTAGAGAAAGAAGACGATTCGTTGTACCGTTTTCGAAAATAATCCTCGTCTAAATTTAGATTCTTCCCCAACCCCCTCCTCCCGCGCGAAGCGCGGACGCTTTTACGTTTCATTAAATCATTAGAGAAAATAGACGATTCTTTGTACCGTTCTCGAAAATAATCCTCATCGGAATTTAGTTCCCCCTCCATCCCGCGCGAAGCGCGGAAGCTTTTACCTTTCATTAAATCATTAAAGATTCGTATTACCGTTCTCGCCTCTGAATCCTCGTCTGAATTCAGGTTCCCCCCTCCCGCGCGAAGCGCGGAAGCTTTGACGTTTCATAAGATTATGAGAGAAAGAAGACGATTCGTTGTACCGTTCTCGATTCTTAATCCTTGTCTGAATTCAGTCCCCCCCCCTCCCCTCCTGCGCGAAGCTTTGACGTTTCATTATATTATTAGAGAAAGAAGACGATGCGTTGTATCGTTCTCTATACTCTTAATCCTTGTCTGAATCAGGGGCCGTCTTAGGGCCCCTGGGGGGGGGGGGGGGGTCGAGGCGGCGGAGCCGGCCCCGGAAGCTCAGGGGTTTTAGGCGTTTAATTAAGGTCAGATGAGCATTTTTTTGTATACCTTATTATTTTGTGAGACTGGCACGTCACTATTTGGCGTGGGGTCCAGGGGGCGGAGCCCCAAAATATCAGGGGTTTTAGGCATTAAATTACCGTCAGATGAGCATCTAAGGGCCCGCCGTAGGGCCCTAGGTGAAATCCAGGGGGCAGAGCCCCTGGAAGCTTAGGGGTTTTAGGCATTAATCACGGTCAGATGAGCATATTTTGATGCCTCATTATTTTTCAACACTGGCAGTTAACTATTCTTTCTTTCTTGCTCTCATTCTATTTTATTTCTCTTTAATATACTTTTTCATAAAAGTAGGGGGGGGGGGACTCGGGGCTCCCGATCCCCGCCGTACCTCGGGCCCTGACAAGTAGGAATCAACTAAAAAGTGAGGAAAAATCTCGGAAATTATGTCATTTCAGCATTATTTGTAATCCACCGTTGTGGAATTAGAAATAAACCACGTTTGAATTTGATTTCCCCCAAGCCCCCCCCCTATCAGTACGCCAGTATCTCCTCTTTTCCTTTTTTCTTTCCCTTTCCTTCCTTCTCTCTTATTTTTTTGATTGGGGGGGGGGG